TATTTCTTTTCACGAACTTCATCTTTATGCTACTGCAGAGAGCTTTAAAGGCAAAATCCCTTGTATGAGTCATAAGGGAAGTATAGCATAGCTTACATTTGAATTACTGCATCTTCTCTTAATGGCTGAAAAAAAAAAACGAAAAAAAAAATTAGACACCTGAGGTGGAGAATACTAATAATTCCTCTGCAAAATGTTGAATAGTAGAATGAATTGTATGTCTTTGCTGGGTAATATTCTTTCTGCTTTCCACTGCTTCCTGTTGAAAAAGTCTTTTTTTGAGGTGCAAAGTGAGAAATCATCTTGACTGAGTTGCAAACCATCAGCTTTTTTCCCCTCTGCCTTATGTAGCTGAGAATGAGGCATTCTTTCTCCCATGTGGGGCAGAGGAAACTGGTATTTTTTTTCTCATCTCTAGCAGGCCTTAACAGTCAGTTTTATTTAACCCCAGAAGTAGTGAAAAATGCCTGCACCTACAGAGAGATACTTTTTGAGATTAAGCCCTGGAAATGAAAATATGAGAAGCTATCCAATGTAAAATATACCGCCTTCTCGACTTATCTTTTCATGGATTCATAGAATTTTTAACATTGGAAAAAAACCTCCAAGTTAAAGTCCAACTGTCATCCAATCACAACCATGCCCAATAAACTATGTCTTTAAATGCTACAGCTGCACATCTCTTGGACACTTCCAGAGTTGTCTGTTGTCTTAAAAAAGGAGTAATTTGAGATAAAACATTTAAATTTTCGGAGGTACCCACACTGAATCAAAGTAGATTATACAGAATATATCAGTAATGTTAGAGTTACATGAACAGCTGCCAGGTAAAAACAAGGACTGATTTGAACCAGTGTAATACCAGCTGTTCATGGGGCAGCAAGTAATCAAGGCACTAATCAATCACTGAGAGAAAGAAGAAAGGAAGAAAGGAAGAGAAAGGAAGGAAGGAAGGAAGGAAGGAAGGGAGGAGGGAGGAAGAGAAAGAGGGAAGGAGGAAGAAGGAAAGAAAAAGTAAGAAAGTAAGAGAGAAAGTAAGAGAGAAAGAAAGTAAGAGAGAAAGAAAGAAAGAAAGGAAGGAAGGAAAGAAGGAAGGAAGGAAGGAAGGAAGGAAGGAAGGAAGGAAGGAAGGAAGGAAGGAAGGAAGGAAAGAAGGAAGCAAGCAAGGAAGGAAGAAGCATGTAAAATTGGGAGCAACCTAAATGAAATGTTGAAAATTTCAGTTTCCTCGCATTTATATAGGAGGTTGTTTTGCTACTGGTTGTATAGGTTTACTTACAACTAGTTTAAAAAGTCTTTGTGCATAAAATTATTTGGTGAAAAAATTGAGTGAAAAGCCATCTAGACAGACAGACAGTCTGTTTTATGTCTTTCTCCATCACACTGAAAGAAAAATAAGTAATTTTTTAAACTGAGTGCTCATACTGTTAAATAAATTAATGACCTTTTGCAGAAGACAAAGAGAGATTTAAAATGTCTTAACATGCCTGTTGCTTCCTTGCATTGTGTGGCTTTCCTAAAACGTGTCTTTCTACTGTCTTCAGAAGAACATTACTCCAATTTCTCTTTTCATTCAGTGTTCTGCTAATAAATTGTTATTCTTGTAATTTATTCCTATTATGATCATGGTTCTCTTGTTCTTTGTAAGGCTATTTGTATCCAATAAAATCATAAACAGAGAGCTTTATAATTACTGACACTGGTGAGAGAATTGGATCATCGTAGGCCATCTTGAGTCTCTCTCTTTCATCATGAGAATGAAATGCTTCTGTGCGTTTTAAGTGAAGACTTACATAGGTTGATTCTCACATTCAGCACACAATAATTCACTGCTTTTTTGAGATCACTAAAACCCAAATACATTAGTAGAATCTACTGCTCAGATTACTGTGAGAGAATTAATCTGTAAAAATCGTGTTTGATCAGAACTTAACATAAAGCAAAGCTAGGTGTGACTGGCAAATTATAATAATTAGCTAACCATCTATCCCTGTAACTGGAAAATTCCTTGCTATCTTTGTCTTGCTGTTATATGAAAAATAGTTATTTTAAATGACATCGATCTGTTAACTACTGTTTGGTGAATCCACAAAGAAACCATGGTGACAGAGAGAAATTAGGACTCAAAGAAAATTTCTTTACAAGAACTGAAAAATATTCTTCACTTTCTTCAGCTTTTCAGTAATTTTAACACGAGAAAGCTTTGAAAATTATGTTAGGCTGTGTTTATCCAGTTTCAAGTTTCTGTCCACCCCGAACTTTGTTGCTCAGGCTTCATTGAATACATCTGCTATCAAATTGGTACTTCATTTAGTTATCTGTACTTTAACCATTACTGTGGACCACTACTGTGTAAAACTGTTCCTCTCTAATAATTTAAATAATGATTTGTACAGCTTGCAGAAATAGAGAATACATGTTCAAAATATGCTAAAGTTCTCCCTCTTGATAACGAAGCTCTTATTCTTGTTGAAACATAAGGAAAAAGACATTAGTTCATATAAAGATCTATATGGAGAAAAAATCATATTTTTAACATTTTTTAGAGATGACTGGGTTTAAAAATGGGCTTAATTTTTTAACAAGATATGATGCATCTTATGAAAAGTTGTAGACATTTTTAAGTATCTACATAGTATTCACTATTTTCAGATTTTTTTTTTCCTGGCCATTTAGGAGATGTTCCTGTCATAGCAAACTCACTCAAGAAAAACAAAAGATCTGATAATGCAGTATTTACTATTAATTGATTAAAAGTACTTTTTATTACCTATGAAGAAATATGTGTTCCATTTGCTTACTCATGAGAGACTTATTTTCTCTGTAGTATTAGCAAAACTGCATAATTTGTCTTTACTGAAATACTCTTCCTTACACCCCACTAGCGATTTTACAGGAGCCTTAGATTCAGCATAGCTTAAAAACAAAAATGCAAATAAAACAATTTTTTAAGGAAAGGTAACAATGTATTAGATCCAACAATTTTAACTTAAAATTGTGAATTTAGCAGAGCATGACTTTTCTTTACCTGTGATATACAGAGAAAGAATGATTAGACTTAAGAAAACAAAAATAAAAATACTAACTTAGATTGTTTTTGTGAAGAATCTTTCATATATTTTCACACCTTTCACAGCTTATGTAGCAATACAGAGAAAAGCTAAGTTAGATTTTCTTTAAAGCTCTTTCAGTAAAGGATATGATGTACTGCACCTATCAGAGTTCGTAGAAAACTGAGAATAAACCTGACCAGCTACGGTGACAAGAATTTCAGGAGCCCCTGATGCTGTGCAGTGGGAATGAGTGCCCAAGGGTTCAAGTTCCCAAACTGTTGGATGTGCAAAATTTGAACAGAAGTTATCCTTCATTCTTCCTAGAGTGGGTTGAAGAAAAAGAAAAAATTCTGTGTAGAAGAAATTCTGTGTGAAATTTACTTTCTAGTGAAGACTTTGTTCAAGAGTGATTTCTTTTTTCATTGTAAAATTTAACTGTATATTTAACAGATTTGGAACTGGGTTTTACATGTGCCTTGGTTTTCCAGTACTCTGATAGATCCTCAAATGCTTTCTTGTCTGATGAGTTCAGCACTTTAGCTCAAGATAGTTCAGGTGAATCATTTACAGGCCACAGAGGTACATTTGCATTCTGAACTTCTCATCGTCAGAATTTGAGCTGTGAAACTGATTTCTATCTCAGTTAATACCATCCATACAGTTGAGTTTGTGTTGACTTAAACTACTTGAAAGGTGTGTGTGTCAAGACATATTTGCTAAGTTACATAGCAGATGGTAAAAGATTTTAATGAACTCTAGGTAGCAAGTAACCTTATAGATTGAAGGCTATATTGGCTTTAAGGAGACTGAAGGACAAGTATTTGCTGATATGTACTCTCTTCCTTTTTTTTTTTTTTCTCTCTCTGTGCAGTTTTATTTTCTCTTTAATTTAACACTGCAAGCAGCAACACATTCAATAATTCTGACATCACTCAGATTCAGTTGGCAGTAAGAATTTCTGTAGTACTGTGATACAGCCCTTTGGAGGTTCTCTGCTACTAATGAACATGGTTGCACTTTGAGTTAATGGACTTTTCGTGTTTTTTTTTTTTTTTAATTGAGCCCACTCATATACTGAATGGATAGGTTATGTTTCATTTAATTTCTTGCACTCTTTGAGTAAAAGAGTGTCTTTCATGTCTTAATTTGTTAAAAAAAAAATCTTTCAGCAGAGAAAGGTTTTGTTATATTATTGGTGTGGGCACATAGAAAGAAGATTTCTAAATAGAATATAAGAGCAATTACTTTTATATCATTTATTGTCTAGTACATTGACTTCAGATTTCACTCTCATCTTGATTCATTAAGTGAATGTATCAAGAACACATTTGAAGTATACAGCACTTGTTTTTTAATAGTCTTATATTACATAACCTTCATTTCACAACAGCAGTTCTTACAGACTAGGAACACAAAGGCTATATTGTTTTAAAATGGACAGTCATATCTACAGTGCAGATCTGAGCCTGTGGAAACATCATAGGCTTTTGTGCTTTAAGGGTAGGTTAAAGAAACAGGATTCATCACTGCAAAGTCCATTAGTTGCCTGATCCAGTACATATTTCTGGTCATTGCCCAAGAAGAAGTTACCTCTGCTCTGCCGTTTATACAATATTGTATTTGGGGGATGGGGGGAAAGGGAATGAAAAGATACCCTTGTAGACGTGTTTACGCCCTGAATATTTACCTGAATGACTGTTTTGTCCTTGTTCAGTGATCTATGAGTTTCCCTTGTTAGGATCATTGCATCTTTCACAATGTTTCTGGTTCTGCATAAAATGGGTAACACATAGTATGTTTGTTCACTAATACCTTCGTGTAGAAAGTCAGGGAAATGACCTTTAAATAACAAAGTTAAGTATTAGTTTAATACTGAAGGAAGGTATTAAAAGGATGTGAGATACTTTCAAAACAAATTAGTAAAACATTTCTTTGATTTCTTTATAGATTCTGGACAACCAGGAAGTCCAAGCCACAATGATCCTGCCAAGAATCCACCAGGTAAATATGAGTTCCAGAACATGTGCAATCTAACATTGTTTGAGAACAAAGATACTACTGTTAATAGTTAAAGAGAGCATAATTGATCAGCAACATATTTTGTGCAGTTAGGTACATATAATTGGGACAAGCTGTGATTACTTTAGCTCTTTTAAACTGGCAATGCCTCAATTGTAGTTTCATCAAGATTCATTTAATATATGGAATTTTTTTTTTCAGTTCATGTTTTTTCAAAGTTTGTAAGTGGGGATGGACTGAGGAGTGAGGTGAAAAGATCTCCAAATAACTTTACTTTTCAAAAGTTCCTACATACTAGAACTAGCCTTTTGTGTCAGACAAAACACAAACTGCCCTACCTCTAAGTCTGTGTACTGAGTTAACAACAACTTTCCTTTAGTTTCAAATTTCATGTGCATTTTAAAGTGTAAATATTTTCATATTTTGTAAAAGTACATCAGGTCAGAGCAGTTTTTGAACACATTGTTAATGGATCATTTTAGCGACATTTGGCACTTTTTTGAGAGATATTTCAGTGATTTCATGGAAACAGTCCTTTCAAGGATTCTCTTAAAATAAAAATTCAAGAGAAAATCAAAACCACACTGCCATTTCACACTGTTTAGGCCAAAAGCTCTTTGTACTTTTGTGGAATTATCCTTCCAAATCAATTTGGCAGTGCTGGTGAGTCTTGTAAGTCTTTTGTTTTTTATGAATTTTATCAGAGTAAGACAAACAAATGTAACAGACTTCCTCATACTACAACTTCTTAAAGAGTAAGGAGTGACTCCTGCCATCAAAACCATACTGTATCTTCACATTTCAGCTCTCAGAAGAAACAGCTATCATTAATAAGCTTGAGCTAACTTAGTTTGCTTTTTCAAAATGGAAAATGAACCACACTCTAACCAAGAACTAACTGTATGACGGCAGGCTGTTACACATACATGAGTATTTTCTGGATTTGTTAAAACACTAGGGAGAACAGCTTATATTGTGGCTATACAGTTTTGTACCATGGATAGGATCAGAGCATTCTCAGTATATTTTGGAATGTGCCATGTTTGTTGGAACTGAATAACTCAACAGTGGAAGAACCACTGTGGCTCATTATGCAAAAAATCTGCATTCTTCTATTATAAAGAGCAGCAATATATTTCTTGAAGTTTGCTGATATGTTTTGGAGTCATGATGACAGAAAAAGTCAAAAAACTTGTCAAGCTGTTTTTCAAGTGTTTTTGATTGTTATTTATTTATTTATGAAATACACGGCATGAGTTATGTAGGATAATGGTTTAAACCCCCCTCCTGGAAATCCCTTAATTATCAGCAAATTTACCCCTGAAAGAAAACTGATTTTTTTCCTCATAGATAAACACAATTTCGTAAAACTTGGAACACTTGACCTTAGAGAATTTGTTCTAAAGTATTTATACCTGTAAGTGTAAAGAAAGCCAAATTAATTATATCCCATCATTTTGAAGGATCCTTTGTAGCCTCAGAATTTGAGAAGGTGAAGGCCAGTTGTGGAAACTTATCTTCATTGTTTTAAAATTCTGTTTTAAAATAGCATTCAACATTTGGTGTAGGAGGACAGAAGTATGTATTTCACTAGTGAGGATCACAACCTTTTGTGTCTAGCCCCATCACCTCTCAGTCTCAATTCCAGGTTACCCTAGAAAGAGGTAGTCTTGCTGCCAACAACACAACTATATGGCAGGCAGCAGAGGAACCTCATAGGCTTTCTTTTGGCAGTGTTGCAGGACAAGATCAGTTGCCCCAATGTCTGATGAACTCCATTGTCCCAGGAGCCAGCAGGAGATAGTAGCAGAGAAATCTTTTGCTGGACTTATCATGAAACTTTATGCTTGTAATTTGAGCATAACACTTTCTCATACTTTGGAGTCACTGTTGACGGCATTGTTCCTTTTATCTGTAGCCAAGGGAGGACAGAAAATGCGAGCTGTGCCTTGCTTCCATTGAAACCCTTCATTTGAGCAGAGACAGTAGCATAATTAGATGTCATCTGTTTATTTGAGGATGTATGAAATTCTAGCATCTTTCAGCTTCCCTGTGTGATACTGTTTTGCAGTTAAAATGGCAGAGAGAAAGCACTGAGGTTTGTGGGACTGCAAAATACAGATCTTCTGGGTTTGTACAAGGATATACGTTGGAGTCATACTCCCATAAGCTTGTCTGCCTAAAAGGGACTACTGTCCTGTTCTTTTCTTATTAAATTTCATGACTCCTTCATGTTCTTCAGACAGACAGTCACTTCTGTCAAAATCTCAGAGGACATACACTCTGAGGTGTTGTATGTTTTTGTAGCAAGCTAGGAGCAGAGGAACTGTCTATGCTGGAAGGATCCTGTTCTTTCAACGTATTTTGGTTTGATGCTTGAATATCAAAGAGCCAGGGTGTTGGCAAGGCGTAAGGTGCTGTTAGTACTTGGATGCCACTATCTTCACAAAGGCTTTGCCAAGGAAGAAGAGACTGGAAACTGAGTTGTAGTTAGTGAGATCGCTAGTGTTAAAAGTGTTTTTTCTATGTTTGGCTAGACTATTACATTCTTTAGGGTGTCTGGTAATTTGCTGTCTTAACCATGGTAATGTCATTTGCCAAACAAAAGAACATTAAGAAACCTTGTTGGAATTCTTTATAATTGGTTCTTAAAAATACACTGAATATTTTGATACCATAACACAGTGCTAAGTGTAGTTTGTGGTGAAAGTGGTATTTAGCTTTTGTAGCAAGATCCGCAGATTTCCTCCTCTAAATTTTATTTTTCAAAAATTTTCATTGGGTTTGTATTTGAAGAACGAAATGTGATTTTCTGTGAGCTGGGCTGTAAAGGTCACTTCTGCAAAGGGATTGTTTTGTTTGCTGCTGACATCTAGATGAGCTGAGCTGTACTGAGAGAAGAGTTTGGGTACTGTTGTTGCCCAGACCAGTCATTAAGCACCCAGAATCTACAGGTTTATTTGGCTTAGCTGTTAAAAATTTGTATGGCTTTTGAGAGAGAATAGACATGGTACCATTTGACAAATCTATACCTGGATCAGTTAGTGCTTAAAATGAAAATAGATGGAGCATAGGTGACTACTAGCTAAAAAATACCCACAAAACAGCAACAACAAAACCAGCAAGCAACAACTCCTCTTTATGTCTGGGTATCTGTTCAGCTACTGCTGAAGGCATGTTTATAAAGGAGGAAGACCCAGCATGGCAGTTTCAAAATAATTCTATATTATTTGCTCCCAGTGAATTTCAGTGTAGGTATGATCTTATGTGTGTCCCAAGTGCGTAGCTCAAGGAAATTAAGAAATGAGCCTTCCTTACTGTCTTTGTGACACAGTGTATTTGTGAAGCTGTGGGTTGATAGGTACGGAAGGCAGATGAACTGCTCTTTCAGTGAGTTCATCTGTTAGGCATAAGATACTTAGGAGGGTGTGTAAAAAGAGAAAAACATCCAAAACCATTTATAAGCTAATGATATTCACACCACCCATAAAAATTTGGCCTCTGGTGATATCTTCTTCACTGGTCAGTTCTTCTACTAATTGATTTTCTGGATTTTTTTCCATTGTATTTTTCTCTCCTCTCCTCACTGCCTACTGGACACAATTGTTAGACACCAGCAAAGTTACCTGCTACTCATCATTGGCGTGAGATTGCAGCTTGGCAGGCTTGACTTACACATTGGCATTAAAATGTCTGTGTGCAGTTGTTTGAGTGCCAGGGTGCTCAAATCTTTCAAGGCAGTCTTTTTAAACTGCTAAAATAGGAGTAGCAAATAGAGAGACTGATAGAGTAAAATGTTATGTTAATATGACAGTAAGATAGGATGGACATCTGAACAGAGTCTGAGCCTCATGGGGACCCCTGGAATTAATACTAGTTACTATTGTTGCTTCATCTTTTGACTGATGGATATAGCCACAAGGATATAGCCACATATGGATATAAGAGCTATTCTTGACCAGCACTGGGGAATAAAAAAGATGTCTTTCAGAAGCTGCGAAGAAAACCTAACCATTTTCAAATAGATGATTACGAATGTCATTGGCCAGGGAAGACAAATGCATTCAGATTTTTGCTATTTAAGCAGTTGAGGTCAGAAATTATTACTGAAATTATAGCTGTTTTCTAGCAAATGGGACCTACTAGGTTTTTGTTTGTTTGTTTGTTTGTTTGTTTGACTGTTTGTTTGTTCCCCTGTAGAATCTATTCTGATTTAGCTGAATATCTTAATATAAACATTGCAGACTCCATAAACTCAGGGCTGAATGCGGAATGAAGATGACTCAGGATCAAGCCTGTGTGCTAATGAATATTACATTTTTAATGTAGGGGGTAAGAGATTTTTAGACAGAAACTGAGAAATTGTCCTTTCAATTTTCATTGCCCCTCACCATTTGGCTTCTTCTTTCCCCCATACTAGCCCATGATATCTGAAGATAGGTCTCCAGTCTGAATGACACATGGTTCGGTGAATCCCTAGACCCAAAATTGTTACTCTGGTGTGGGTTTTCCCCTTGTATTTTTGCCAGAAATTTTGTTCTGGGAATCTTTTCTAAAGACGACCTGAATGAAATCACAATCTATTCTTTTTTTTTTTTTTTTTTTCCTAATTAAAAAAGGTGTTGCCAAAAACCAGCCTCACCTATCTCTTAACATGCAAATCTCTCTTGCAGCTGTAGAGCCCCAAAGGCTTTTCTGAGTTTTCATATGGCCAGCAGCCACAGGGAGAACATTCTTTTTGGATCAAGCCCTAAAGAATGTGTAATAAGTTTGCCTATATGTGACTGTTTTAGAAATAAGTATTGCAGTTCTAACTTCTAGAACTTACAGCTTCAGAAATAACTTCTGAAGAGTAATGTGGTCTCAACCTTTGCACTCTTGGAAATGCAATAAGTAAATGTCTTTGAGTTTTGAATGGCTCAGAACACAGACGGTTTCATTATTTTACTCCACTGCAAGTTACCTTCTTGTGGATGGCGAAT